TCTCGTCGCCCATCTGGTGCAGTGGTGTCATTTTGTAATTTTTGAATTTACCGTGTGGTAACATTTTGTATTTACTACCACCCGGTAAATTAAAAATGACAATATAACTGTGGTAAGCGTGCGTGCTCCAGAGTCGCGGAGTAAGAAATTGATCCTCACGTCGAGGGTTTGCATGGAGACCGGATGAGACCGTATAAACCGAGGTACCATGTCGCAGTAGATGCTGGCCTTAAACGGGAGGGTTAGTAAAAAATAATATTAGGCTATTGATAAAAAAAAAAACAAGAACGCATACTTTAAAAAATGGTTCTTCAAGACAGTTTCAGAATTTTTTTTTCATATTAATTTTTTTACATTTCAGTTTAAGAAAAATCAAATACATGTAAGTATATATAGCGAAATATCGGAAATTATTTGAAAATTTACAAAAATCTTGAATTATCCTTTTTTTGAATTTAAAAAAATGTAAGTTTTTTAACCTGACTCATTCTTATGGAGATTATCAGCAGAGCCGTGTAATCCAGTGTAATCAGTAGAGAACGATTTCATGTCAGCTCTCTTTTAATCTCAGAGTAAATTCAATTCAAAATGCGAGGGTTTCAATTAAGATTTGTTATTGTTCAAGGGTAATCTTTCCCTTTTTGTTTAATTTCAAAACTGCGATCAGGTGTATCAATTTGAAGGTGAGAAACAATTATTTTAATTATTTCCAAGTGTTTCCAAATACATTCTGCATGGTGTGCAGAATTTGGCAAACTCTGGATGCAAACTGATGAAAATAAATTAAGTTTACACACGAGCTTCCTGTTTTACGTCTAAGAATACACCTCCTGTATATGACTACTTCTGGGACAATCGGACAAAATTTTTCTGCTTTCATTCATGATTTGACACTTAAAAATCAATTTATAAATTTTGATGTTTGGAGTTCACTTCGGTATGTCATGGGTTTGTTCTCGCGCACCCGCAGATCAGATAACGCGAGAATTGCAATTGGGCGTGACTTTGTTCGTGATTTCATTCATGACGTAATGTAATCACTCTTTTTTCAAAAATTCGTATTAATTATTGTGACATTTGGCATTTAAAGTAAGCACTCGTGTATTTATTTTCGAAAATAACTATTTGTTTATTTTACAAGATCTTAAAAGACAACTGTGGATCGTCAGTGAGATTTGGGTTGTACAACATGACACAAAGAAGCATGGAAATTTATCTCGTTTGGGGCACTCTAGGTGATGTGATTCTTTACGAATAGTGCATTTTGCTGGCTTTTCCGAAACAAACAGGACCGAAATTGTTGAAAATTAGTGTTTTGTCTCAGATTACAAGTGGAAATGTTTATAATTTTGCTCGACAAACTTGACAAAAATTATATATTAATGAGCGAATGCACGATACGTGGATATAAATTTGCCAATGACATCTTAAATGTTCAAAATTGGCAAAACCGTGAAGATTTCAATGTAAACACAAGTAAATAAAGGATTATCAATTTCCAGATTTCATCAGTGTAAAGCTATAAAATATATATTTTTTAAGCTACATATAAAAAACATAGCATGGCATACACGTCCAAATCTTGAATTAGGGAGACGATATCCTAATATCTGAGAAAACATAAATTTGCTTGTACATAAGGAATGTTCATTCCTTCTAAATAAAACAAACAGAATCACGCTTGGACATCTGTTTATTGGATATTATTTTCAGAGAACTGAAATGATATTGTTTAACTATAAACACATACTATACAGCTCAGTCTGGCTAATATTTATTTTGACATCACGCATGTCAGATCTATACGGACGATCTTTGGCGTGGTAAGCACGAAGCGTTTCAGGTTTGTCTTTCAAGAGTGAAATGACAACCATTCTCCGTGTTGCATCAATATTTTATAAATACATAATATTTACATCCACTGAATATTTTCTCCTTTATTTCTTAAGAAAACCCATTGCGTTAATCACTGCATGAACTACATTAGGCATGTCGCCTGTACAGATTTCTTGATCAGTGGCTGTTCCATCAATGAAACGTATAAAGACGTACGCATCATTATTACAATAATTAAACTTTTTAATCCTTCTTTAAATGATTATTTAAAAAGATATAAATATAAACAATAAAATGTCTTTCTTTGTCTGTTATTACTGGAATTAACGGGCAGCTATTGCAGAAATTTTTTTTTCTGCAACAGCTGCTTCCGTTAATTCCAGTAATAACTAAGAAAGAAAGCATTTTATTGTTTAAATAAACCTCGTAAATTCTATTTATATAATTGCAGTTTTATAAAGAAATCGTGTCTTTATTTTCGAGCCGAATACGGCTTAATGCTCGATTCCCGGTTTGACAGCTTTCTCTTCAATGCGCACGACCACACGGAAACTTAATACCCCATTATGAACTCCACACGTGTCAAAAGGTCATGTCGTTCCTTAAAACTGTTGACCTTTTTATGGTATGCTTGAGTGTACTCATGCAATGTACGCGTACACGAAATGTGCGTTCGGTTTGTTGAAAATGAGATTTTAATGTTGCAATCAGTTTATTGTTACTTATTGCTCCATAGGATATGACAGGTAAACATTACATAGGACACCGTGCGAGAAAACAAATCATCAGCCATTATGGTCCTAAAGTAGATTCCCACTAGTATCAAATTTACTCCATATGTTTACAAAAAATTGACAATTACAAAAGTTCATAACATCTTTGGCGGGTTGTAATACATTAAACTGATTCTCCCCTGCTCTGAAGCGGACCAAATAAACATGGCGGTGTTGGTCGCATGTCACTCACGTTTGAGAAATTGATTATGTCACTCCAAGTCAGAAGTCAGTGTACTTAGGCATCAGCTGGCAGGAGACAGAGGACTGGCTACCGTACCGTAAATAAGGCACATTTATACGCAAATAATAAATACATTTAACGATCAAGTTCGCTTTCAAGAAAATACTTTAATGGTATTTGTCTCATGAAAGTTTCAAGAGAAAGATACCATTTTAATATTTTCTTCCCTAAAATTCTGTGTTTACGCATTGGACATAAAAAAAATGTTCAAACCACTACTTTTTGCAAACCAAGCGTGCTAGTAAATTATTTTTCCTTCAATTTAAATGTACAGTTTTGCATGTTACACAATCGTCCCAAAGGAGCAAAGTGTCTGAAGGTTTTTGGCTGAAAACTCTATTTAATTTACCTCCACTGCATTATAAAAAACACAGATATGTGTAGAAACTGTAGATGTAAGTAGAAAATAAAAGTAGAGCTCAGAATTAATTTCAAAAACTTCTAATTTTTCCTGAAGATTTTTTTGCTTATATATCAAACCTTGGGAACTTGCTTTCAGCGAAGGACCCTTTTAACCCGACTTTCTGTCCCAACATTTTGGGTTAAAGGGCATATAATATCATTTTAAGTGGGTAGCCAAAAAAGGACAACTTAATAATTCCAACAATATTTTTAATGTCCAAACTCGAAAATCCTATTTCCGGGGAGGGGGGGTTAGATTATGTTCGAAAAAGTGGGGATGCAACCCCCCCCCCCCCCAAGTACGACCCTGGGTGACTGTAAAATACAAAACCAGGGAAAGCGTAAATAAAATGTAACTTGTGTTATTGCCGTCTCCGATCGGAGTGGTCCAAGTAGGGGATGCAAGCTTTATCAAAGTCTATCATATGTTCACGGGTTCTAACAAAATCTTTGTCATGTTTTTCGAAAAGACTGTGTTTCCTTTTTTTAAAAAAAACTTTTCCTGGTATTTCTGTATCAGTGTAAAGACCATGTATTATGTATTTTTTCCAAGAAATGAAAGAAAAAATAATACCTTTTCCTACATAAATACACGGACTTAGAAAAAAAGAATATATGAAAGGAAAAAGCTTTTAAGACATACCTGGTATTACAAAATCACCAATATTCAATAATATTATCAAAACATTAAATAGATTACTATTACTAATAATTAAAATACATTTATATTTTTTTTAATATATACGTGTATATCCATATTTGTGTTTAATTGCTGAAATGCAGAATATTTTTTCCAATGAAATTACTTAGTAGTAGATATTAATAAACTTTAACAATGATAATTTAAAATGTGCATTAAATTTAAAATTGTTGCGTAAAAATAAGGTTTCGAACACTTCGTAATAGGGTTAAAATTTCTTTAATATATATTCTATTGTCTTGATTTCTACATTATGTTTTTTCTCATTATTCATGATTTAATTTATTTATTAAATAGTAGATTTTTCTTATTTAACATGTAAGCATGTGCAAATCTCTGTTTCATAATATTCCACAAAGGTATGTAAATTCTTAATTTCTTATCATGTACCTTTAATTACTATAATTTTATTACTATATATTTAGTTTATTTTTTTAATGTGGTTTAATTTAAATGATCCAATATCAATGGATTAGTTATATAATCGGACAATAAATATTTATACGATAATATACGAATTAGTAGACTTATTGGAGGAAAGAGAGAAACAGACCAAGATTTTCCCCCGAAAATCAGAAGATAAGGGAAATATCAATTTAATCAAATAGGTGTTTCCCTAAATGTCATTATAAATATTTACTCAACGCTTGCAATCAGTTTCCGATGCACAGAACACATAAATAAATGCACCCCAATCTGACAGAACTCCCAGGAAATGATCGTATTTCTTGAGAAAATAATCTATTAGAACATTGATTACATATCTCGTCTTTAGTACATATACATGACGATGTCTTCTACTTTAAAAAAAATTAACTTTTGACTTCATATTCAATGTAATATGGACCCATTCTTTGATCAAATTTTTTTTTTTTCGCAGTTTATGGTTTCAATTAATTTTTAAAAGTTCTTGATATAGCATAACCCTGTTTTACAGTCGGGACGATTTGTACAAAATATTGAACAAATATATTATTTACATCTAGAAACATTGTAATTTCCCTGAAAAAAGCTTAAGAATTAAATGACACAAATATGCGTAGACGAATACTATTTATTTAATAAAATATATACAAATAATAATTAACAACATCTGTTTTAATAATAAAATATCTAGACCATTCATCTCCTTTTTCCATGTACAGCACACGATATTTATCTTTTAAAAAAGCTTTATGACAAAATTCTGGAAAATTAATTCTTATGGACAATCTCATTCACTGTCTGCTTCACTCATGGTTTTTGGTATTAAAAATGTCATTTATCCAAAAAAGTAATATTTCACAATTAAAGTCCACTATCCTTGTCAAATACATCGGCAGAAGTGATGAAAAAATTGACAGATTTGTACATTAATATAAACAATTGTGGAATTTTTGACACTGATTATTAAACAAGGTTCTCCGAGTACAAAACAGCAAAACTCTCATTCATTCATTTCAAAATTAATCAAAGCACAGCATTATTTTGTCAGACATCATCATCTAATTCCGGCCTGAGATGTCCGAGCCGTCCAATCCCGATCACTGGTTCCGGCATTTAGAAAATGTCCAAGACCTTGTGCTCTCATTATAAGTTCCTGTGGGTTATTGATTGGTAAGGAAAATCCCCCAAAAGGAGGATACCCTGCGTATGCTCCCATCGGTGGTGACAAACCATGTGGATGGTTCCGGAGGAAACCGTTGCTATACAGTCCAGAAGCGAGAGAAATCTGAAATGAGGTTGGCGATTGTCCCTTCAAGTCGATGATTTTTGGAGGAGGGCTGGGGATTTTGTCAAAAATGTCATATTTTTTCTTCTTTTCATTTGAAATGTTCTCATAGTTTTCCAGTTTGCGTTTTCCGTTTGTGTCCGTCTGGAAATGCACCGGTGAATCGTCTCCAATCAAACTATCGATCGTAAAAAGTCGTTTTCGGATTGCTGGAGTTTCAGGAGAGTTGGAAATCACTTCCTCGCTGCAAAAACGATTTTCTGTTCCATCCTTGGAATTTTCCTCGTCCGAGCAGACGACATTAATTCCGCTATCATTCTCGTCTGGACCGGCTAGCTCTTCGTCGGTACGATCCTCAGCGTCCGAATGATTGTCTGTTTCGTAGCTACCCTCAATCTGCTCTCCATCCTCTTTGCCTGATCCTTTCACTCTCCTCTTCCTTCTGCGATAATTACCATTCTCAAACATCTCCTCACAATTTGGATCCAAAGTCCAATAATTCCCTTTCCCGGGCTTTCCCTTTTCTCTTGCTACTTTTACAAAACAGTCATTGAGGCTCAAATTATGCCGAATTGAGTTCTGCCAACCTTGCTTATTGTCGTGGTAATAAGGAAATCTTTCCATGATGAATTGGTAGATTCCGTTAAGGGTGATCTTTCTGTCCGGGGCATTCTTGATGGCCATTGCAATCAGAGCGATGTAGGAGTACGGGGGTTTCTGAGGTTGGTCCCTCCGATGCATCTCCTCAATCATCCTCAGAGCATAGGCTCGGTTAAAATCCAGAGAGGGGCAATAAAGTCCCGCTGGGTAGGGATATGGAGGCATCCCAGGTCCCAGATTCCCATACTGAGGATACAGTCCAGTAGAGGAATTTCCAACCATTGCCAGTTGCTGCGCACGAACAAGTTCATTTGGGGAAGACATACTTTTAACAAAGTTAATTTTTCAACTTCAGTCACTTATTGTTGAATTGCGTGTTCAAAATGCCCGAGAGTCAGAGTTCCATCCTATTACTTTCAGGTTCTGCTCTTCTCTGGCTTGCTGGCCACCGGTGAAACAATTTTAAATCCCTGTTTATCCGCCGTGCTGATAGCATATATTGTTCTATCTAATTGTTTTCATAAAGCACGTTGACTTTCGATGCTAAAATAAATGCCAAAACCCATAAATATTTGTAGAGTAGCTTTTTTCCCCTGTTCACTTTTGCCCTGTCAGTTAGACATACGTTAACACTTCGCTGCGTGTGTCAGCCAATCAAATTGCGCGATGCAACTGTAAGCGTTTTACAAACACCGACTATCGTTATCTCGACGCCCACCCATGCTGTATTAAAAGTGTTTATTTAAAAATTTCAAATCGAGAAATTGACCACCCTTTGCATAAACAGGTATTAAGTGATATTTTTACAAACAGTTATACAGATTCTCTCGTTTAATTAACTGCTTTTTAACCGTCCAGATCGTTATCAGTTTTTAGACCCGGTGAAATCGGAGTGTAAACGGTACAATCATGCAAAAAGGCAACCCAATACCCCTGCTAGTTCACTAAATCACAAAAACACTGTGTTGGCATTACGTACCATCTTGTTTTATGGAATTTGGCAAAATTTTTACTTATATTTGATATCATTAAGTGTTGTGTAATATTACTTGTGTGGTATTGATTTGTTTTGAATTATGCAGTCACCTGCAGTAGATCTAATGATAAGTAAGTTATTTCTTTCCTGTTGTATAAAAGTCACATTTTTGAGATTCATATTTTATTTAATAAAAAGAACCTATTCAAAAAATAAAATTCATCTTTCAAATTAAAACAAAAACAAAATATTTGAAAAATATTTCATGCTGTTAAACAAAGACAAACTATTCAAAGAACCATGCAGTTGTATGAAATAATACTTTCAATCCGCACATGGTCATATATTGGGAATGACCTGTATTTATTTCATCATTTAGTGAAATATTTAAATTTAATGAAAGGAATAAATTAAAAAAAAGAAATCAGAAATTAGTGTACGCTTTTGAGAAAACTCATAAAAAAGGTAGTTGAAATTAACAATAGAAATATTAGATTTTATATTTTCATTAGCAGTTTTAAAAAAGTGGATCCACAGCTATAATAATGATCTAATATCTTAGTTTTCTTTCAAATAAGTTAAAGTTTAGTTTTCGCCATCTGTTGGATTTTTTTAACTTGAAAAAATGACGGCTATGAAAACGATTTTAAAAGATCAGAAACACAAATCAATTATAGATATATGTAAATCAAACATATATAATTTTGAAAAAAAAAAATTCAAAACCCATGGGTTTTTTTTTTTTTAAATAAAGAAAAATATTCATGAATTTTACAAACTTTTTCAAAACCATTTCTGATAAACGTAAAATAAAAAAATAAAAGCAAAAAATGGCTGAAACTATACGTAGCCATAGATTTTTTTTTTAGCTTTATTTTTAAGATTCTTATTTAAAACTATTGTTAGGGTTAATTTGCAAATTTTTTTGTTCGAAATTGAAAAAAATATTACTAATAAACCACAATACTATTTACAAGCAAAATTTGTGACATATGTTGTTTGATAGAAATATATAGACATAACTGGTGTGAACTTAAATATTGATATTGTAGAGTTTCAAACAGAAGTTGATACAGCGAACATGTGACGCAGGCAATGGAAACTAGTCTATGAACAGACCCAATATTTTCCAAAAACATCGAAGAAAACCGAACAAAATATTCAAAATTTAGTTAACAAGAAAAACAGAGTAGATTGCTTTGAAAGGTTAAATAAATGGATTTAGCTTTTAAAGTTATGGCTGAAAAAACAGTCATTACAAAGGTCATGAAATTACTTCACTAGAAAAACCATTAGACAAGTCTTATTGAAACGTTTTGTCAATCAATCAGTTTTCTTAACCGCGTGTTAATCGTTTCAACACCTCCCTGGTTTCTTCATGAAATACAACAAAAAGCAGTACTCCATTATAAACTCCGTGAAATCAAAATATTATCACTACCAGCAGGTAGTATCTAATGGGCCAGCGCCGACTGTATTCAACAATTCGCGTCGTCCTATCGTTTGAATAAAACGATTTATTGTTTAATTATTAACTGTCAATTAAAACATATCGATACACTGTTGAGGGAAACAACGATTACTCCCTCTTAATTGGCACGGGAGTTGTACTTGAATTTATTAATTCAATTTCTGTATTTAATCAAATTGAAATAAAAAAAAGATAATAATGATAAAATTGTTTAAAAATCGGAAGTAAGAAAAATGGTTCGGGTGAATAAAATGAACTTGAACTTGAGAAAAAAAAAACGAAAATAAATGTATCAAATCGCAGTTTTAATAATATTTTTTTTACAGAAAACAGGAAATCATGTGTAAATAAAAATGAGAAAACATTTCATTTTCTCGGATAAAGAAATAATATGTAATTTGTTACATGAAAGTCTTTACCAAAAAGGTTAAGTTTAGTCCAATGTCATGAAAATTGAAAACAATTATTTTTATTTTTTTTACCACCGACTCCGTTTCATTTTTTAATAGTACAATTACACACATTATGTACTTCTTTATTTTCGATCCGTGGAGTAATAACACGTAAATCTCTCTTGATAAACAAATGAACTTGTCATATTCGGGAGCCAGTCATATTATAATGTACCTAAAATGTTGGCCTCTTCACCTTACAAAAACTGTCGTTTGTTTTTTGCTATTTGTATCTGGGCCCCCTGTCAACCTGAAGAATCCAGAAATCTACAGCCGGTGGCACTGGCCCCGATAAGAGGTTTTCTGTGTTATACTTTATTCACCTTAGTAAAATGGATCTTTTTATTCTTGAACCTAGAATCTCTGTATCCATCTGGATTTTGACATGTAAATAAAAAAAAAAATAGTTGCAAGTAAAATTCTAGATTACTGTAGAACTAGAGCAAGATTTGAATTTTTGATTTACGCAAATTGATTTTATATATATGAGAGAGAGAGAAAAAAGAGAGAGAGAGAGCGAGAGAGAGATTTTCTTTTCCATTTTTCAAATGATTTTTTATTAAGTTTATTTATTTTCCAGTATTTCTTTACATTTATAAGCGCATGGTTCAGCGTTTTAAAGATGACAACTCTTTCTGACAACCAGAAAAATGAGAAAAGAACTGAAAGAGACATTTATACTTATTTCAGAACCTTAAAAAGCGCAAGTTATCAACCTGACCGCGGCGACATCTAAACAGAGCGATGTCTATTTTGTCAGGCGGGTGAAACACACGCACAATGTAACAAAACAGTCTAACGTTATACTCGAAGTGAGTCAAAAATATAGCTCAAAATTGATAACATGAAATAAAATCATCCAATGTGGATTCTGAATTATTGACGAACTTGAGTTTTTAAAGAAAATGTTCCACTTTTGGATTGATTCGATTATTTGAAAGTGGTGGAACTTGTGATGCAATACCACCGAGATGAGAACTAGAGCAAAAGCTGTCATTATTTTTGTTAGACGTATTTTATAAATTTTTTTCTCGAGGGCGAGAGAAAGAAAAAAAGAAAATATGTGTGATTTATTTGTATTGTCAAAATAAACGGAAAGTTTCCAAACAAATAAGCACAAATAGGAGATAAAATCCCGTGTAAAAGTCATTTATCGGTAGATTAGCGGGCTAATTGTCAGTAAGTATTTTATCGACACCAAATCATAATTCACCACCACCTCCATATCTCAACAACCAGAGGCGTCTTAAAGAAGCAGGGAACACCTCTCAATGGGCAAGATTTGGTCAATCTGTTTGTTCTGTAATCAAACGCACCCGTTTCACACCCACCCTCCTAAGTACCGACTTTGATCTGGTGGAAATCGAGCCGGAAACCGGAGTGAGTATACCTGTAAAAGAAAATATCTCCAGGAAACATTTCCCCGAAAAGTATAAAAAGGGTGTGCGGATTAAAAAGGATTAATTAGTAATAATTTTTACATGCTTATAAGCCGATAAAGATATCTTCTATTAGATAAAGAAAATCGCTTAGAGGACAGTTTTTCCCCAAACTCTTGATAAAATGTTCGAAATTTAATTAACTATTTTAATAAGTATCACTATTATTTACCATTACGCGCCAAAAACATAGAAATATTAATAGATTTAAAAAAAAAAATCTGTTTTTATGACCTCAATCATTAGACAGATTTTCTTTTGGCAATATTAATAGAAGATCATTACGTGCAGTAAAGGATAGAAAAAAAATAACAGCAAAATTTAACTTTCTGAAAATTCTAAGCAAACGTACATGTATACCTGTATAATACCATGGGTTTTAGAAGAAAATTTACATCTTTTTATACTCGTGTTATACTTTAGGACAAGGATTCAGTATCGCTATAATTTTCAGTAGCCAAAATCGCCTTTGAACTATCCAAGAACTCAATGTGGGTTGGCTTCAGGGAATGATGTAGAATGTTGAAGATACCAAATATGATGTGCGAAAGCTTATATTTAAATATAACATCAAGAGGCATTAGAGAAAATAATACAACATTCGTATAAATAAACAAGCGCGATCAATCACAGAAAATCGTCTAAAACAAATATTAGGAGATGGTAAAGGCGATTGAGAAGGTCACTCTATCGCCCGGGGGTGTCGGAGAAATCCTTATCCCCTAACAAAACAGGATTGAGTCTGTAGACAGAGGCGAGGAAATCCTGGCGAGAATGTTTGTCCTTCACACTTTATAACTCAGGTACATAGACCACTAACCTAGAGGGAAAGTGGACTGTTTTATTCCTTGCAAACATTATAAGCGCAAGATTAACAAACTTTTATTCACATTTCACCAAAACCAATAATTTGAATTCTTTTTTCTTTCAAGTCTTCGATATTAATTCCAAGAATTCAAATAAAAGTTCTTTTACAGCATTTCACTAGATACTATTTCAAATGCATCTTTTGATGGTCTTAGTATGCGTTTCTTAGTGTACGTCAATAATCTGTTTTGCATCTCTTCGTTATGTATAAAAAATACATATATTTCGAAAATTAAGTTATCTTCTAATTTCTAAATCGGTTTCTAAATCTCTTAAAAATAAAACACAAAAAAGATTCGTCAAATATAATTTTTCCCCCAAAAGGATTATATAGGAAACACCTTTCTCTGGTATCTTGCAAAACTTCCAGGTAAGGTAC